CAAAGTTATAATACCATTTCATGCTCATGAAAGGTATAAAAATAAGCGCGTTACAAATATGCAGTGCCACAGCAGCCCGCAGCAGGAATTCTACGTACATAGATCTGTTGTTGCTAAGTAATCTCCAATGTCGAGTGACTCCCAGTTGAGGCAGATGTGCATGTAAATAAATAAAGTTTATTGTTTTTGTTTTTTTACTTTTTGTAGTGCAATATATCTAGTTGCATTTGTATGTATGTATGTAGTTGTGTATGCATGTATGCAGTGAAAACGTAATATGAATGCAGGTCAACGAATTCCAAGTTTGTTTGTATTAAAAAATTTATTTATAAAGTACTGCAAGCAAAATATTTATAAAGTATTTATTTAATTTACATTGACAGTGGCTCGGGTAAAACAACACTGATGTCTACTCTCGCTTTCCGGCAACCAGGTTAGTAAACTATGTACATTAAGGTGAACCAAAGAAAAGTTTAAAATGTTAAGATCTCACCACTTAGCATTTTCTAAAGGGAATAAAAAAAGTACACTTATTTTAAAAAATATATATACTTAGATCTATCTCAAACTACATGAAGTTTTTCATGTTTTGATATGGGGAATAAACACTTTTTCGTAGAAATAGTATAGAATTTTTGTAAAATCTATATTTTTCGATCGGAGAACACTTTCTCTTCGGGAAACTTCAAATAACAATTCCCAATTATTTATTTCAACATTTTTTAACTCTAAACATTTTTAATGGGTCTCTCCTTTGCAGTTTTTGGGGTTTTTTTGGAGACCTAAAAAAATTTTTAGTATTAAAAGCCTTCTTTAACAATTGATTATTTTTATTGGAAGTCTCCTAAACAAAAACAGAGGTTTCCCATCAAAAAAAAAGAAGTCGAAGAAGAAGAATAGGTGAACGTTCTTTGGTCCCGCTCCAAACAGACATACGGTTGTGGTGTCTCTTGTACATCCTGAAAAACTCTAAATCTATTCATGATGGTTTTTTAAAACACCAAGATGAGAAGTTCCGCCACATCGATGTCACGGGCACACTCCGATTTTATTTGAAAATCTGCTGTAGTTTTGTATTTATTTCCCTAAGAAATGATTTCATAAACTTCAAAAATATCTGCGTAGGAATCAGAAGAATATAGCTGGTCCTTGCTCTTAAGAAATATGCCCTGAAAAGTGTCAGCTTAGGCCTTGAAAGGGTGCGTTCACACAGAAACCGGAGCCGAGCCGAGTGAAGCTGTCACACAGCAAGCTTTTTTAGAAGCATTTCGGTGTCGAGTGCAAAACGGTTATCGAATTTGACTTTTCTATTTTATTTGCAGCTTCATGACGAACGTAATTTCCAAATTTTTAAATGAAAATTTATTTTTCAGTAAATCATGTTCCAAGGGCAGCTGATTTCAAGGCGAATTGTGCTGATTGTCAAAATGATGCGTTTGTTGTATTTTTTTTTTTTTTGTTGTGATTGTCATCGTGCCTATAATCTGTTAGTGTAGTTTTTCCGTTTTTGTGCTGCCGGTACCACTTTGTATGAATTCGCCTGTCTTGTCCATTAAATGTAATAAATAATTCATTGAAGGTAAGTTCGGTGCGATTTAATACAAAAGACTCCGCGTCGTTTAGTGTGAACACCTGCAGCTGCGCCTCGCTTCGACTTGTTTCACTCGGCAAGATTTCCCCAAGAGTTTTATATATATACTGCCCACAATTAGGGTACTTAAATCGAATTTTCCAAAAATACCAACACAACTCAGATTCACATCCATAATCTTATTCAAAATACGAAATTCCATCAGAATCATTTATTTGTGAAATAACAAGAAGATGAAATTTTAAAGTACGTAA